AATTAAGATTCTAGGTGTGTGGATAGATAAGAACTTATCGTTTATCCCACACGTAGAGGAGGTGTGCGGGAAGGCTACGAGGAGCATGGTGGCTCTCGGCAAGATAATGTCTAACATAGGAGGGGCAAGGGCCAGCAAGAGGAAGGTGATGGCGTCTGCCGCCATATCCATACTGGGCTATGCGGTAGAGGTTTGGAGGTCCATGAAGTTGCTCCTGGAAGTTGAACCAATTGTGTCAATTTACAATGTACCTGTTAGTTTTTAGTTGGTTTTCATTAGTTCTGGCAAGAATGACGTTAGTTTCTCTTTGGTACTAATGTTATCCCAAAATCAAAATTGTCCGGGCGTGCTTCACATTTTCCGCGACATGTGCTAGAATTGTTAGTTCAGAGGTAATTTTGGATAAAGATTCGTTAGTTTATGTAAGTTTTGATTAAACCGTCGTTTGTTTTTCCTTATTTCTTGTAAAAAAAAATTTTTAATTTGTCCGGGAATACTTCACACTTCACTGGCAATTAGTTGAATTGTTAGTTTAAACACCATTTTCGATTGAATGGTGTTAGTTTCTATAAGTTTTCATAAAATCGTCGTTTGTTTTCCCTTAAATAATTGATTAATCGACCAATTTATTAAAGCGTTGTTGATATATCCGTCAAAAGTCATTTGCAATTACAGCTTGCTACGTAAGACATGGCACTCATTTACAAGATATTGTTTACACTTAGCTAATTGTTGAGTGTATGAGTAATGAGTTGATCTACAGTATCCAATAAAAATGTATAATTATCTTAAGCTTTTTCTGGATGTCATAATATGTAGAACCTTTCGCCCCTAACCAACACATAGATTTCGACACGTTTTGTACAAACGCTCCTTATTTTGTCACCAAGGAAAATTGAGTATATCTCCATTTCTAGATGGTTGATAGATGGATGTACGGGCATCATAATTACAAATTGAAACTCAGGGTAGAGCCTTCGCTACCTAATAGAGGCAAATAATCCACAATAAACATAATGAGTGAGTTTACACAACGTCAAACAATGTAAACTAGCAAAACACGCAATATGAGGCTAGGATGGATGCTCTTCTTACCGATACTTGCCTAATTGCTCGCCAACTATAGGTCTTCCGTTGGGCAAATCGTTGAAGACTTCCCATTGTCCGTTTTTTGGTACGTCTTGTGAATGCTACGTAATGACCTGGTAGGTAGGCAACGATTCCGGAAAGAATGTAATTTTTCCCAAGAATTAACATCTCCTCGGGAATATCGGTAAGCGTATATTCTATGTCACTTTCTGCCTCTAGCTCTGATACCGTTAGGTGATCGACTTTGGGGCACTAAGTATCAAAGTAAAAGTCTGCTTGTGGGTTGAATTTTGTGAAATGGATGGTGACTTATGTGAAGAAGGTGGTAGTATACGCCAATGGGTTACAGAAATACAAAAACAAATACGAGAAGAAAGCGGAAAATCATGGACGTCCAAATCCATATCTACTATTTTCCGAGACTTGCGGACCGACTTTATTAGCATATCGCATACCCCTATGGACTACTGTTCTTGTCAAATCTTTTAATTCTCCACATTTAACCGCATCAGCTGCAACAGTAGAAAGTGATTTCAATGGTAGTTGGGGAAATGTCGCTACTCTAACCTAGGTAACAATGGAAACAAGATGTACTAGACCCGAATGTAAAATACATGATACCAGAGAAGAAATGGTAGTTTTGGAAAGCAATATGAATATTCTCTTAAAAGAAGGTTTTGTTGCACTGCAAAAATCGATATTGTCATATTGTCATGCGAAAGTCAATCAACTGTTTCATGTGAGCTAGGAAATCATCTTTTCATAGTTGTCGATCACCTAACGGTACCAGAGCTAGAGGCAGAAAGTGACATAGAATATACGCTTTCCGATATTCCCGAGGAGATGTTAATTCTTGGGAAAAATTACATTCTTTCCGGAATCGTTGCCTACCTACCAGGTCATTACGTAGCATTCACAAGACTTACCAAAAAACGGACAATGGGAAGTCTTCAACGATTTGCCCAACGGAAGACCTATAGTTGGCGAGCAATTAGGCAAGTATCGGTAAGAAGAGCATCCATCCTAGCCTCATATTGCGTGTTTTGCTAGTTTACATTGTTTGACGTTGTGTAAACTCACTCATTATGTTTATTGTGGATTATTTGCCTCTATTAGGTAGCGAAGGCTCTACCCTGAGTTTCAATTTGTAATTATGATGCCCGTACATCCATCTATCAACCATCTAGAAATGGAGATATACTCAATTTTCCTTGGTGACAAAATAATAAGCGTTTGTACAAAACGTGTCGAAATCTATGTGTTGGTTAGGGGCGAGAGGTTCTACATATTATGACATCCAGAAAAAGCTTAAGATAATTATACATTTTTATTGGATACTGTAGATCAACTCATTACTCACACACTCAACAATTAGCTAAGTGTAAACAATATCTTGTAAATGAGTGCCATGTCTTACGTAGCAAGCTGTAATTGCAAATGACTTTTGATGGACGGATATATCAACAACGCTTTAATAAATTGGTCGATTAATCAATTATTTAAGGGAAAACAAACGACGATTTTATGAAAACTTATAGAAACTAACACCATTCAATCGAAAATGGTGTTTAAACTAACAATTCAACTAATTGCCAGTGAAGTGTGAAGTATTCCCGGGCAAATTAAAAATTTTTTTTTACAAGAAATAAGGAAAAACAAACGACGGTTTAATCAAAACTTACATAAACTAACGAATCTTTATCCAAAATAACCTCTGAACTAACAATTCCAGCACATGTCGCGGAAAATGTGAAGCACGCCCGGACAATTTTGATTTTGGGATAACATTAGTACCAAAGAGAAACTAACGTCATTCTTGCCAGAACTAATGAAAACCAACTAAAAACTAACAGGTACATTGTAAATTGACACAATTGGTTCAACTTCCAGGAGCAACTTCACGGACCTGAGGTTTGGCAGCCGGCACTGAGGTGGGGAACCGCTCGGACGAGGTTAGATCGGGTGCTACGGTTGGCGGCGATTCGGGTGGCGAGCGCATATAGAACGGTGCCTACGCAAGACATCATGGTAGTGTTGGGAACTATCGAGAAAAAAAAACCATCGAATAAATTACTATTTAGTAATAAGTACTATCGAATGAATTCACTATCGAATGAATTTTTTGAATAATTTTTTTCCTTTATGTGTATTACTTATACAAATACATGGATCTTATATAAATTATAAATGAACAACGTCGTGAACAACTATCGAATAAAAATGTAAATCATCGACTTTTTTCACTTTGCTTATGCCTTATAAATTTATAATGCGTATGGTATGAGTAATTACTAAGTAATTAGTAAACGACGCTTTATATTTTATGTAGGTATTATAAAATTTATAATTCCCAATCCCAAACCGTGACCATCTGGATTAAGAAATAAATAATATTTACATTTTTCAACGTAACATAAGGTATTTAGTATTTATGAACTGTGTGTGCAATTGCAAATAATTCGTTCATTGAAGACAATTCATTCGAATGAATTACTTGTCCACTATCGAATTATTCGAATGGTTTGCGACTATCGAATAGTTCGATAGTTTTCATTCGAATGCGCGCATCACTAATCATGGTAGTGGCTGGGATTCCCCCCGCGGAAGTACTCTTTAACGGCAGAGCGAACGGGTGGAGCGAGGCGAGGAGAACGGAGGAGTGGCAGTCACGTTGGCGGACGAGAGTGTCATGGACGAAGACACTGATACCGGACCTGACAGAATGGAAGGATAGAAGCCACGGGGAGGTGGATTACCACCTCACGCAGCTGTTAACGGGGCACGGCGAAAACGGGGTGTTCCTTGCCAAGATCGGCAAGAGAGTGGACGAAAGGTGCCGAGATTGCGGACAGCGAGACCATCAGGGGCACGCAGCGTTTGAGTGTCAGAGATGGGCGGCGGAGAGGGCGGTGATGGAAACCGAGGTGGGAGTGCGACTAGGGCCACACAACCTAATAAGCACGATGCTGCGAGACGAGGCGAGTTGGGGCGCGATAGCGCGGTACTGGCGGGTAGTGTGTAGTGCGAGAGAGAGGGACTCGTGGAGTAGGACATAGTGCGGGGAGAGTGACACATAAGTGTGAAAGGCAAAGACACAAGGCTTAAATCTAGGTGGCGAACAACGGCCACCGGACCATCCTCGGCCGCGAAGAATGCCAACAGGCGATACCCGGCCGAGCCACCAGGTCATAGAGAGAGGAAAGGGTTTTAGTGGGTAAACCTTCCTAGATGGAAGGGAGTCCTACACACCCCCCGCTATAGAGCCAAGCGGGGAAGCCTATAAAAGGTTTCCCGAACCTCAATAAAAAAAAAAAAAAAAAGGTTAGGTTAGGTTAGGTTAGGTTAGGTTAGTCGCAAACGGAGCTTCGTAGCGATCGGACGTGTTTGGAGCGCTCTGCGGCGTGTGGAACAGAGTGTAGTCGAGTTCTAGTGTAGGGGTTTTTTGAGTGACGTGGGCGTGCGCGCGCAAAAATTGGACGAATTTTGGTGAAAAAGCCTCTAGGGGCGCAGGGGTAAGTCCTAGAAGTAAGGGACATAGTTAGTGGAGACGGTAGCACAAATACGCACATTTTGACACCTCACACGAGGGGGTGGAGTGGTCCCTTCTGCGGACGCTAGGGGTGCGCCACGTGCTTTTCGGTGGCGGAAGGGGTGGTGCTACGTCGACGGGACTAGTGCCAAATTACAGAGGAGGTTACGGAATATAGGTGGAGGTGTGTCCCAATCAAATTGGACCGAGCGTACGGTAGCGGGAGCACTATCTGTTTATTGAAAACAAACACTGATAGGGCTGTATTAGCGCCGGGGGTTGTAGTAGCAAGTGCGGACAAGGAAAAACGCGGTCAGAGTATAAATACGCGTCGTTTGACACCTCACACGAGGGGGTGGAGTAGTCCCTTCCGCGGACATATATAATTTAATACCCCCATTCAATAACCTACACATACACGCCACTGCAAACAACATAACCACACTTTAACACTTTATAACCACACTTTACACAACGTTGCTACTAGTTTATCTTCTATGTAAGTTGGATAATTTAATTATTTATTTATATAATATTGGTTGTTTGTGATGTTTCAATTCTACTAATGTTTTTATCATTCAATAGAGTCATTCCATTTCCACTTTCGTCAGTAACACGCAACGCACTTCATGACATGTATAAATACGCTGCCTTTTAAACCTTGACGGTAAGCACAAGTATAAGATTATGTTGTTTATATAATACAGAATATATTTATAGCTAGGCCTGATGATGGCAATGTTTGCCGAAATCGATAGCCATAGAGAAAAAATTATAATATAAACGTTACTAAACTTCATTATATTTTACTCTATTCATAACGTTTATCAAAAATGGAGACGTACATCAAAAATATCAACAAACTGGAGACATCCGGATTACTCCTGCAGCTAAAATATATTCTACAAAAACGACACAAAAACACCCAACATCTACAGTTTCTGTATAACGCCAAAAAACATGAAGTCACCCCCAATTTCTTAAGAATCAACCTGCCGAAACGATACACCCTACAAGAAACAAAAGGCATCCATAAGAAACTTCTACAACATGAAATAAAAAAACAACACTATAACAAAACCATGATCAACTCCAAATTAAAATACCTACACCGAACGTTACTACAAAAACTACACTACATTGAATATGAGACAGTATATCTACAGTTAGAAGAAGAAATTACAAACAGCAACTACGAATTAGACCAAAAGAGACTAAAGAAATTAAACAAACTCATCGAAATAAAAAACCAAACTCAGCAACAACCATACAACTCCAAGACGACACACCAAGAAAGAAAAATACTCCCACTTAGTAAACGATCAAAGAAGGACATTACAACACCAACAGATCAACACACAGGTTTACAAGACACGACATACAGGATTCAAGAACCACAAGCCACCGCAGTCAACACAAAGAAATCAACTATACACCACCCTCATCACACTGCTTCTTACACAAAAACCACAAGCCATCACTCTCAAGAAAATGAAAACAACTATACTTCAACCACAACACACAGCTTCCCACCAAGATTCACGAATTTATCAACGTTAAAACTTAATAACGAAGAAACACAGCTACTTAATTTAGGACATAAATACGCACCTCAGTCTAGTACATACTCACCTTATCTCACGGCCATCGATATAGAATATCAACTATATAATAATCCATCAATGCATTATATCAAAAAAGAAATAGGAGAAATCATCAACCGCAATCAGGTTAGTAAAAATGAAAAATCACACAACCATACAAATTATAGATCCAAAAAGATACAACAGACCCTAAAGAAATTAAAAAATAAAATTAATACCCAGAACATAATAGTCACCGCTGCAGATAAAAATGCTGGGCTAGTACTGATAAACAAAAACGACTACATTAACAAAACGACACAATTTTTTACAGAAAATAACATCACTATCTTAAAAAGAAACCCCTTCAACAAATACAACACCACAACAAACAAGATTCTCAACAATACAATAGACACCCTACAAAAATTCACTAACACCACTTTTCTAATCCACAAATTAAAAAATAAAAATCCCAAAACACCACAACTCTATAGCCTTATAAAATTACACAAACCCACCAAACCAATTCGGCCTATTACAGCGTCGACAAACTCACCAACACACTACATAGCCAAATTCTTAAACAACATAATTACCCAGAAACTCAAATACAAATCCCCGTTTTCAATTAAAAACTCCCTAGAACTCATCAACAATATAAACAAACTTGACCTACATCACACACAGTTCACTTTAGTTTCCTTCGACATAGTCAACCTCTATACTAACATACCTAAAACAGAAACACTACACCTACTGAGTGACATATTATACAACAACGACGACTTCAGACATAATTACAAACTCGACCCATTAGACATAGACAACCTACTGACACTATTCAAACATACAACAAATCTAGACTTTTTTATATTTAACAACGAATATTACAAAATGACAGACGGGCTCCCTATGGGTTCCCCCATTAGCGGATTATTAGCCAATATATACATCGACAATCTAGAGAAGAAAATCAGCGAACTTTTAGAATTCAATCACGTCGCCCTATGGAACCGCTATGTAGACGACATTCTTTGTATCTGGACCGGAGATCCACAAAATCTAGTCAATTTTTACAATAACATCAATAGTCTATCAAAAATAAAATTTACTATAGAAACAGAAGACAACAATCAAATTAACTTCCTAGACCTCACAATACATAACAACACAGACAATATTACTTTCAACATTTTCCGCAAACCCACCACCACAGACATAATAATACCGGCACACTCATATCATTCACATAACATAAAAACTGCAGCCTTTAATTTTCTGTTTAATAGACTGCTTACTATACCACTCAACAAAGAACAATACGATGCAGAACTAAATACAATCTTTCAAATAGGCATTAATAACCAATACTCTTCACAATACATACCTACACAATATATATCATAAAAATAAACAAAAACACATCACCAATACAATATACCCACATTACAAAACCAACAATAAATATATATCAATAGAATACCATCAACACATACATTACAAACTAAAAAACGCATTAAAGTCACACAATTTAAACCTCACAACAAGATCGCACCCTACGTTACAAAAAAAAAATACTCAAAAACACAATGACACAAGAACCACACCATCAACAATCAGGCATATATCAAATAAATTGTTCACAATGCAACCGCATATACATTGGCATGACCACGCGTAATATACAAATCAGATTCAATGAACACAAGAAAAATAAACCTCACTCCGCTATAGGCACACACATACAAAATACAAATCACGACATCAACATTAACAACACTAAATTATTACACAAATGCAACAATTACCATAAACTCACCATACTAGAACACTTCGAAATACAAAAAGCACTCAGAAACACCCACACAATCACCACCAACGAAATCACAGAATTCAACACATCACACATATATAATTTAATACCCCCATTCAATAACCTACACATACACGCCACTGCAAACAACATAACCACACTTTAACACTTTATAACCACACTTTACACAACGTTGCTACTAGTTTATCTTCTATGTAAGTTGGATAATTTAATTATTTATTTATATAATATTGGTTGTTTGTGATGTTTCAATTCTACTAATGTTTTTATCATTCAATAGAGTCATTCCATTTCCACTTTCGTCAGTAACACGCAACGCACTTCATGACATGTATAAATACGCTGCCCTTTAAAACCTTGACGGTAAGCACAAGTATAAGATTATGTTGTTTATATAATACAGAATATATTTATAGCTAGGCCTGATGATGGCAATGTTTGCCGAAATCGATAGCCATAGAGAAAAAATTATAATATAAACGTTACTAAACTTCATTATATTTTACTCTATTCATAACGTTTATCAAAAATGGAGACGTACATCAAAAATACTAACAAAACCTTTAAAAGAAATAATTATAATTTTTCTATGGCCCGTCCCAGTCTCCGGCACGACGAAAATCTTGATGTTAACCTTTAATTTTAGAAATTCAGCATCCCTCACCGCCAATTAGTTAGCACCTGATGTAATTCTGGATACGAAATAGAAAATTTGATTGACGGAGTCATTGTTATCGTAAAGAGAGTTGTCTCCAGCATAATATTTTGTATGAACAACGTCCCCCGCAAAAGAAACGTCTTGTATGAGGTACCGCTATTTTATTTATGTAAAATTAAAGGTCTAAATCTTTAAGAAAAGCATCGTGCATTGATTGATGTATAAAAAAACCTTTGGACGCCCTTAAAAAGATGAACCCAAGCCTTTTTTATATTTTCCTTTTAGAAAACTTGGGTCACCCTGTATGTGTGAATTTTAATTTTCTTTGAGCGTTAAATTTGGTTGTTGCTTGAGATTAAACGCAATTTCGATCATATTAGTTCAATGTTTTGCATTAGAATATTGGATGTTTAATATTTGTTTAAATAATCGCCTTTTAATTTTTCTTGCTCAGTTAAGGAACATTAGAATTAATTAGGCGAGTGTCTAATTAAAGTTATCTCTTGTAAATCTGGTCGTTGCGATAAGAAGTTTCGTTATCGCTGCGTAAGCTAATTAAGTTTAGATAAGCGGGTGTTTTTTGGCCAACGTAAACACAGATGGCAACGCATGTTGTATTTCCCATTCATCCTCTCTCGTATTTTTCTATTTACTATTTCCTCTCCTCTCCATTTGTTCGAAATTTGAGTCTTTATTGTACTTTTAATCCAACTTACATAAACTTGATTTGAAATGTCAGGTGTTAGCACACCTTACGTGTGTAAACCACTAATAAGCGCCGCCCGCACACCGTCCTTTATCTCAAAAACCGTTGAGTATATAGAAAAATGTTTGGGGTTAAAGGTGTAGATAATTTTATTCCCTACACTTTTTATAATAAGTACAAATGGCATTAAAACCATAGGAAACGAGATATTTGCAAAAAAAAAAAAAACGATTTTTGAGACCTTGACCTTGAATATCTTAGACGCGGACACGAGATTTTATGTGACTTTTGAGACAACTTCCAGAATGACAAAATAAAGGTTTACAGAAATTTACAGCTTATTATCTCTCATTCCGAGGTTGGCCTTATTTTTTGCCTTAAATGACTGGACTACAAATAGAAGCCAGATTAGGAAGATCAGGGCCAACTATAACCTGCACAACATTGGGCTTGGAGGATGGCCCACGTGCATGGTTCTGTGGCAACGGGAGATGAAAGTTTCTGTCAAACACGCATTAGAGTACCTAATAAACAATTATATCGAGTAATTGCACAAAAAGGCAGTTCAATCAGGGCCGTATTACCAATTAGGCACACTATAGGCAGGTGTCTAGGGCCCGGGAAGGATGGGGGCCCGGAAAAATTAAGGACACGTAACGTAACGTGTGGGATTTTAAAGTACACAACACAACAATTTTACACTATAATAGGTAGGGGTAGGTACAGGTACTTTTTGCTTTATTTCTTTACATTAAAAATTTGCACTATATTTATATACCTACTATTTTAAATAATGACTAGAGTGCGAATAAAAATGCATTTATTTTTATAAAATAAGCGCTTATTATTATATGCGTCAAAACGGGCAAAAAAAGGCAATGTAAGCAAACAAATGCACAATCAACCATCCACAGAAAAAAACCTTTATTCCTCAATGATTATGATGAAACTAACTCTAATTAGGTATCGGAAAAACAATTAACAATTATGTATTTCTCCAAATTTGCAATTAAAAAATGTTGCCTTCGGTCCGATAAAATATTTTTATAGACGAATAGACATAGATGTCTTTCACTTTTGGCATATTTTTGACCCGGTTAATTGAATTAATATTTAGAAGGAGCTACGAACGGTTTAACGTATATGCGAAAAAGTAGGTACCTACACAACTGTGCTGGAACACGAGTTATTATAATTTATGAAAAGGGGCCCGAAAATTTCATTGTGCCTAGGGCCCGGACAAACCTTAAAGGCTGATTCTCACTATACATAACGTTTCCGTACCATATCCTTTCCATAACCATTCTATTCCGTAAATTATTATAGGCTACGAAATTGACCTTTAAGTGATATGTGCGTAAGACATTCAGTCGCGCGCTAATGACATTCGCCTTCCATATGTGAACGGAAAGGAGAATGTGTATTAGCGCGCGGCTAAATGTCTTAACGCACATATCACTTAAAGGTCAATTTCATAGGTATAATAATTTACGGAATGGTTATGGAAAGGATATGGTATGGAAACGTTATGTATAGTGAGAAATCGGCCTTAATTCGGCCCTGAGTTCAATCTTTGAATATAAAATTAGGAAGAAGTCTAGCCTAATGGGAACTTGTGGTTCCGTGACAATCGGGGGAGAGGCTCCCACTTTTATAATAATATAATCGGTTTTAGAGCGAATTTATGCTCCCAATTGCGTTTGCACTGAAGATTTCAATACTGTAATCTTTTGTTGGTACGTATAATAGTCGCGCGCACTTTAAATGAAAACGCTGCCGATACCAATTGGGATACACAAAATTTTGTAGAACAAAAATTAGAGACAATTAAATGTACTACAAAAAAGTCCGCGACGGCATATATCTATCTTTAATCGTTTAGCCATATCAATCATTTAAAGTTGCGCATCTTGATTGCGTGGGCATTCATAGTATCTTTGATTGCTTATCACATATTAAGGGTTGAAGATACATATATGCCATCGCGGACTTTTTTGTAGGAAGTTAAATTCTCTACAATTTATCTTTTATAACTTTTTTTGTATCTCTTTTTGTTTTCTCAGCGTTTGTAAAAAAATGTACGCACATCGTAATTTTGAATAAACTTTTTAGTTAAAAAAGAATTTGGCGTAGGTACGACTCGAACCCTTGACCTACATGTTGTTATAATTTCAGGTGCTTTTGGGGGTTCCGGTTGGGATGATCGAAGCGTTGTAAAAATTGAAACTGTCGTTATTTTTTTGACATTCTACTCAAAGCGCAAGGGAAATATGCGAAAATGGGAAATGAAAAAAAAATGATGTTCTTATTTTTATTTTTATTATTAGTGCAATTCACATATTATCGAGCTCCTTGCGGTATAATAAGGAAGGCCCTTTTGACATCTCCGTGAGTTATGAACTGAATTGCATGAAATTCAATATGGGCATAGCTTTAGCAATGCAAAAGCAATGGCAAAAGTTGAGCCTAATCAATTCAAAATGCATAGTGCTCTTTTGGTATCTCGGCCATATATGAACCGAATTGCAAACTTTTTTTAATTTATAAATGTATTTAAATGACATTTGATACATATGCACTTGAAATAAAAGCAAATGTAACGCCATTTTCAAAATTTGGTTTCGCGCATACGCAGTGCCAACTTATTTAGGTATTTATTTATTTATGAACATAACAGGTTACCTCAATAACAATGTTCATGTATTGTTAATAAAAAAACTATTCGAAAACATAAAGAATATAAAAAATATATGTTAAGTTAAGAATATTAAAATAAAAAAAAAACAAAAGAAAAAATGCTGTGAAAATTTTTTTACAGTCCTTGGATATTGTCACACGATCTTTCAAATTGTCTTAGGGACTTATAAAAAATATCTATGGTGTTCTTCCATAAACGCACACTATTATAGAACGCATTTTTGAAATTTTATACATATGCACTTGGAATAAAAGCAAATCTAACACCAGGTTCAATGAGCCATACCCAAGAGCTCTTTGCTATATTTTTTACACAGTTATTTTTACCCATACTAATAATACACTATCAGAAGGGCGCGAAGCAAAGCCCTATAATTCACCAAAAGTACGGTTTGGGCTGGATGTCATTTCACTCAACAAAACCAAATGTACTCTATGTAAAAAAATCCGCTGAATCTGAAAATCATAATCCTCTGGCCGGAAACTCTCGAAATATATTGTTATACAGAAAAAACGAAGAAAAAATGGGAAAATGTTTTTTTTTCGCATTTGACTGCAATTATCTCGTTAACTATCGCCTCGAGTGAAAAAATGAAGAGAAGTGATATTTTTATGATCTTTTCCATTTTTTTCCGGTGAGGTATTCAAGTGAATTTGTTTAGAATCGAATTGTCTATGTTGTAGAGTAGACCATACATTTAGTATGGAACGTTCATTCTTAATTGTTATTGTTTTTTTATGGAGAAATATAAAAAAATGCATTTCCGGAAATTAACAATCTGTTATTACTGAGTAAAATTCAGCCGATCTTTTTGAAAATCCGTATTTGGTCCCTTCTTTTGATAACAAAACAATACGATACGACAAACCCGATCACCGTAGCCATAGCCATTGATTAAATAAACAAACAAATTGGATAACTCTCATAGCGTTCTAAATTTTTGTACAGATGGTGGAACCCCAAAGTAACCTTTTCCAAAAGTTGTCTCGATGATTTCTGCAAATTGACGGACGGATTTCGATGTATTTTTTTAAATTTAGGTACATTTTCCGAGAGGTTTCTGTTCGCCTATTATGGAGTCACATTTCTTGTTATATTTCGGAAATTATTCCATTTGTTAACTAGCAAAAGTCTTCGGATTTTGAAAAAAAAATTTTGACAGTCCATCGATTTGCAAGAATCATCGGGACAATTGTTGGAAACGGTTTGCTTAGGGTTCCACTAGCGGAAAGAATTGGGGGAGAATCTGGGAGTCACCCACTTTGAAAGACAAAGCATGGATTTTTTAATTTGTATTTTTAATTAATCAACGACTAGGATGAATTTTGCTTAGTAACAGATTGTTAATTTTCGGGATTACTTTTTTTATATCTTTCCATAAAGAAACAATAACTTTTGAAAATGAATGTTCCATACCAACTGTATCTTCTAGAAAATTCGATTCTAATCAAATTCATTTCTCTTCATTTTCTCTCAGAGCAATAGATAACGAGATAATTGAAGTCAAATGCAAAAAAGACAAAATTTTCCCATTCTTTCTTCGTTTTTTACGTTTTATATCAATTATACAGGGTCCTATAACACTGCGTCGGTCTTTCCTAATTCATACCTGGTAAAAAAATAGCAAAAAATCTTTTGTGCAAATGTCAACTATAGAATGTTATGCATATACAGAAATTATTTTTGAATGTACAGAGTGTCTCATGTTTACGGTGTCAATACACAGCTGATTTTTTTAAATGGAACAGCATGTTTATTTTTAGCTAATTCGATGTCATTTTTAACCTCTGCAGTCCAAATTATTAATTTTTTTCGAATAATTCTCTATAAACCAGCCCCACTTTGATAAATCGTAGCGACCTTGATTTTAAAGTTAAGAAATAGAAATCAATAATTTTAATCTGAATAAAAGGCAACACTTTGGTAATGAGAAAGTTGAATTTAATGATACAGAGTGTTTACAAAAAAATTGTAAAATTTCTAGATTTCAAAGTGCTATAACTATTTTTATTCAAATGGAACTACCACTATTTTGTTTCTCTATTCGATGGTCTGTTGTGCGCTCTTCAATTCTTAGAAGGGATATCCTGTGCCTGAACCCCGTAGTTTTTAAGTTATTCAATATTTTTCACTAAACAGTTACACATTAATGAATTACATGTTTATAAACAGGAGTAAACCGTGATAATAAAAAACCAAAGAATGCCAAATAGTAAACAAGTGCCATAAATTAATTGTTTGCTGCAAGTGTACTCATTATTTCCTAGTATTTAAAAAGACTAGTTCGAAATTCGCCTTTTTAATTAATCTTATTTTACTAGGAAATAGGGAGCACATTAATAATTGCAGCAGATAATTTACTTGTGCCACTTGCTTACTGGAATTCTTTTGGTTTCTATTATCACGGCTTACTCCATCCTGTTTATAAACATGTAATTCATTATTGTTTTGTGAAAAATATTGAATAACCTAAAAACTAGGGGGTTTAGGCACAGGACACTCCTTATAAAACTTAAATATCACACAAAACCCTATCACGTACAATAAAATTGCTCACAACCTTTGAATTTTAGATTCAGTCACAAAACGAAAGGTACCCACATTTACTTTAAAACGCTGTGAAAACGATACTTCGGACAGAAAAACTCATAAAACATAAATTGTAGAGAATTTAATTTCCTACAAAAAAGTCCGCGACAGCATATATGTATCTTTAACCATTAATATATGATAAGCATTTGTGACGGCCAGTTATATCTTTAGGCAGTATGAATTGTGTCGTGTATAGATTTGGCCACCGGGAGGTAATTTCTCTTTTTACCGCTTGGAGTCCCTATTTCGTAATTCGTTACCTTGGGGTTTACGATTAAAAGCCGGTGGTGGGACAAGGAAATGGCGATCGGAGTGCATTTTGTGTTAGCACGCCGAAAAGTAATGTTGCGCATTTAAAAAGTTGGAATTAATTGTGTTCATTGAGGCATCCGTTTGGATATTGGAATTGGATATTTGGGGAGTTTGTCTCAATGCCGCTTAGCGGGATTTAATTGATATCCACTTAATTGGTGCTTTGGTCTGGCACTCGGCTTGGCCGGATTTTATGCAACAAGGCGTTTATCGGCTTTTATTTTGATCATCCGCTTCAGGTCGAAGGTAAGAGTCATTCCTTATTCTTTTGTGGTCATTTCGTTATTTCATACGGGGTATATTTGCAGCGGATTTTGGGTGACGGATCTACATTACCACGTGAATCTAGTATTTGTTTTGTCACTTATCGGCGTGGGAACAGTCGTGGGTCTCGTGTAATCAGACTGGAGTTTTGGTATTGGATGTGAGCTGCGAAGGATATGTAAAACTGTTCGAGTTCGAGTTCCGGGGAGACCTGTTTCACTGTGATTGTTTGTACCGCATGGAGGGTTATTTGTCGTAACGTCGGAGGAATTTTATGCATGGCTGTAATGGAGGGAAGCCGTTAACTGGGTGGAATCGTCGTGTACCAAGTTCGAGCGCGACACCTGTCCGAGAACTTGATCGTTCTGGTCGGAGACAGCTCCGAGACATCGTTGCCGATTTTGCTGTTCACCGGTACCGTCCCATTGCGATCCCTTCGAGTTTACCGATAGGCGAGGACCCGCACAGCACAAAGATATTATTGAAACCAACGAGGACACTAGGTACAACTTTAAATGGTTGGTAAGGCTAAACGATTAAAGATAGATATTGTTGTGTAAACTTCCTAAGCCTGAAAGATACCCACACAACGTACCCTTACTAGCTCAATCCCACACAAACTCTTAAAAACACAAATCTCAGGGCCCGTAAAATGAGTCCGACCACCCCTTTTCTTCGTCCGGCCAAGGGGTAGCAACCTCGCCAGGTCGGTGGCTAATACCTCCCTTAAATTCCAATATGAAACTTTACCCCCAGATTTAATAAACTTGAAACAAAGTAAGAGACGCCGACAATTACCTCTCTTTGACTCTAATAAACAAAACCTGGATTGCAATGACTGGTTTAATTTCAGACAAAAAAATTGCGTAAATTTCTGTTTTACAAATTGTTACAATTTTAAACAGATAAATGACACACAAAAAAAAAACACAAATTACTCAAACATTACAAAAAAAAAAACATGACAAAAACAAACCACTAACTACTACTTACTTTAAAATTTGTCCGAGTAACGTACTCTGATACAAAGAGGTATCCGTACACGACCACAACAACAAAATTTTTACACAACCAAACACTCAAACACCGACGTCTTCTCTCTTTGGGTACCCACAATTATTTTCAAACTTCTTAAACTTTTCAAAAAATTCTTCTTAAACGGCAGACAAAAATTCTAACTAAACCTGGATCCACTACGCAAGAAACTTCCACAAAATTCAAAAATCACGTAACCGAAGAAGCGCCGGTTGGCTTTGTCACGACCAAAAAGCCCCGCTCTCTTCAAAAATTTTCTATTTAAGCCAAAAGCCCTTCTCCTTTCTTCAACATCCCGCCCGCCAATCACGCGAAGCGTCGATTTTTCAACTTCTTGCTAAACGGCACGTACGCCCGGCAATTCTGCGAAGAACCTTATCTCTACTTCGCGCTATACCTCGTTAACGGCAAATAAAATTTAAAAAGAAATTTACATCGAAAAAAATTCTAGGAATAAAATAAAAACAGAACACTTCTAAGAAATTGAACCAAAACTATAACATGAAATTTACGCAATCCTGTTGTCTCAAATTATTAATAACCCCCCCGGTTAATTAATTGAACTAAACAAAATTGTCACATCCAGACGCTCTATAATTTCTTTCAAGTTACAACTAAAACAAAATAACACAACATTTTTCCCCCTTTAAATTGAACACAAAAACACAAAATTACAATCCTCCCCTGACTACAAATAAAAAAAAACTTTGGAATTACCGGGTTTTTATGGGCAATTTAACCAACCGACCCTAACACGCGAGCCGCCCTGTCCAGATTCAAAAAGGCGCCGCCCCCCACCTCCGGCCTGAGATCCCTATCGTCCCTAACTAAAACTTTAAACCCAAACTCAAAATCTAACACCATTCTAGCAATTTACATCCCTTATACTGTTCCCTCTCTACTACTTTCTCCATTAACCCTTGCATTTCTTGCGCCTGCTGACTCTCCCTAATCCTTTCTAACGTGAATAACCCTGTTTCTTCCCTTAACTGGTTTACACAAACTACTAGCTCCTTTTCTATTTCTTTCTCCCCTAACCCGTTCCTAGATAAAATGTCCGCAATTAAATTATCCTTCCCCCTTATGTACTCAATTTTAAAAGAAAATTCCTGAAGAATGAGACTCCACCGGTATATCCTGTTGTTCGCAAAACGAGTTGACATTAAATGAGTTAAAGCCCTATGATCTGTCTCAATAGTAAATTCTTTCCCTATAAGGTAAAATTTTAATTTAGTTACACAATAAATCACCGCTAACATTTCTTTTTCAGACACTGAATATTTCAGCTCCGGTCCCCGTAATACCCTAGACACAAACGAAATAGGAACTTCTATTCCTTCCTGATATTGCACTAACACCTCCGCAACGGCCCCATCTGAAGCGTCCGTTCTCAACACAAACCCTTTTGAAAAATCCGGGTGGTATAACCTGATTCCTTTACATAATTCCGCCCTCAACTTTTTAAATGCTTCTTCTTTCCCTTCATCCCATTTAAATTTTACCCCTTTATGTAATAACCCGACTAACGGTAATGAAATTTCTGAATACCTTGGTACAAATTTCCTATAATAATTTAACATCCCCAGAAACCCTCGTAATTTCCTAACATTTGTTGGTCGTGGAAAATTATTAATTTCATCCAACCGGCTATTTTCTACTTCCATCCCAATTTTATTTATTTCAAAGCCTAAAAATTTAACCCTGTCTTTTATAAATTCGCATTTCTCTATGTGTAATTTCATTCCATTCCTGTTCAATTCCCGCAATATTACTTGAATGTGATTAAAATGATCCTCTAACGTGTCACTAAAAATGATTATGTCATCAACATAATGTAGGCAAAATTTATCGAATTTATCGAGAATGCACTGCATTGCTCTAACTAATGCTGCGCACGAGCTGGCTAGTCCAAATGGAACTACCTTAAATTGATACGTGACACCATCGACACTGAACCCTGTAAATTTTCTAGAATTTCTTTCTAAAGGAATTAGCCAAAACGAATTTTGTAAGTCTAATTTCGTAAAGATTTTATTCCCCCCAATTTTCCCTAATAAAGACTCTATTTTCTGGGGCGATTCTAACTGAGGTGTTGTCCGTCGGTTAAGTTCGCGCGCGTCTAAACATAAACGAAGCGAGCCGTTCTTCTTCTTCACGATGACAAGCGGGTTGATAATGTTAGTTGTGGCCTTCTCAATTATTCCGTCTTCGGTCATTTTCGTTAACACGGTTCTTACTTCATTTCGATAATGGAAAGGCACCGAATACGTTTGGATTTTCCCCATTTTCCTATCATCCACTTGCAACGTGTGTTCGTAACCTCTCGCCATTCTCACTTCGTCATTGATAAGTTCACGATTTTCCTTCAGTATTCCTGTTACCTTTTCCGACCACTCTTCTGGGCAATTTAATTTTGACATTTTCCAATACTCCTCATTCCCCCATTTCTGACAAACGCTAATTTCCATTTCGTTATCCGGGTCTTTCTTGATCTTTTCGTCTTCTATTTTCACTTCTAATTTTCCTATTCTTACATTTCCTTTTCCTATATCCACAATTCCATCATACATTTTTAAAATGTCAATCCCGATAATTAAATCCGCCTGCATCCCCGCTAAAACCAATAATTCTTCCTGCAGCCGTTCACCTCCTACTTCAATCCCTAAAATAAATTTTCTTTTGACGTTGGCGAAATTTTTCTTATTTGCCGTTATTAATTTTAATCCTTTAATGGGTACGGTAAAACTCTCCACTCTTCCTAAATTTTCTTTAATGAAATCTTCTGAAATTAAAGAAACTTCCGCCCCCGTGTCAATCAATGCCTTGGCCCTTTTTCCTTCCACCAGCACCCCTATTGTTGGTAAATTGGTAATGAAGTTGTCCGATTTGTCTTCCGCACTATTGTCGTCAATTTGAATAAATTCTTTCGGGTGCGAGTACACGTATCCGACAATAGCGCGGCCTCTTAAAAATCCGTCGGTGGTGGATGGACTTCGGCTCTAACCACTTCTATTTTGTTTTCCTCTCCGGTGTCCCGCGTCGGTTTTAAAATCTGGTTAATACGTCTCCTGTCCTGTTCTGCATTTCCCTCCCCTCGTCTCTCTTCTCGGGCTCCTCTTGCATAATCCGGTCTTCTCTCCTGCTCCCTCTGGTCCTTCTGATATTCCCTTTCGAATTTCTGTTCATAATTAAACTCGCGGTTAAAATTCCCTCTATTGTTGTTATTCCTATTAAAATTCCCATTATTCGCATTCCTGTTATAATTTCCATTGTTGTTATAATTGTTGTAATTTAGGTTCAAATTCTCCATCCGGTTACCCCTTTCTTGATACGCTCCGTATGGTCTGTTTCCTCTCCACTGGTTTCCGTATCCTTGTTTTTCATACTGCCGTCCTTGCTCCCTGATCTTATAATCGTAGGCGGCGTCCTTCTCCTCGTCAGCCGTGTCGTAACGTTTGAGCATCCTTAAAAATTCTTCGTACGTGGTGATGTCGTCCTTCGTGACCTTCTGGGAAATCTCCTCTTCATAATGTTTTGCCAGCCGCCTTACCAGCACTGATTCCTGTATCCCATTTTCTAGGTGTTTAAATTGTGAATAATTTTCCATCAGGTACTTCACACGGCTACCCCTATTTCGGTTATACTTTCCCATGTTTAATTGGTCCCGTGTTTTATTTTGCTCCCAATCGCCCCAGTATTGGCTTATAAAATTTTCCTTGAATGACTCGAAGTTGGCAATCTTCTCGTCCACCGTGTCATACCAAATCTGCGCGTCTTCCTTTAGAACACTTCTTATCAAGCTGATTTCGTCCACGTTCGTGAATAGTTTCCCAAAAATTCGCCTGTTGTTTAGGATCGTCGCCTCTAAAATTTTTAGAAACGTCATAGGGTGGACTTTTCCCTTACCCGTGAACTGTTCCAGACGATCTAGGTCCCCTTTAAAATTGTTGGCGTACTGTATTCCTCCCTGTCTCGGCTTATTCTCCAATTCCTTCCGTAGTTCTTTTAATTCTTCCTCACTCGTACTTTTATTTTTGTTGCAGACTTCTTGCATATGACAAAATCCCTTTTCAACTTTTTCAAACTCCTGCTGCGTGTAGCTGACCTCCATCCTAATCTGGTTCTCTACCTCCATCACTCGCTTGTTCACCCCTTCGTGATGTTGGTGCAGCACGCTGATGTTCTCGGCCATATCCGTCCTTAATTCTCTAATCTCCCTCGTATTTCCATCGGTCTTCTTTTCTACCTCTCTGACGCTCTCCTGCATGTCTTGCCTAATCTCGTTCATGATTCTCACCACGTCCTGTCTTAATTCCGCTGTCGTTTTATTCTGGTTCTCTATCTTCTTATTTATCTCTTTTATCTGACCGCTCAATTTGTCCCCCAGTTGGTTATTCATTTGCTTATTCTCTGTCCTCATCTCACTCATCATCGTTATCATTTGAGCAAAGAACCCTTCCTGCATTGTCGTTAATCCCATTGTAGAGACCTCTCCTTTTCCTTCCGGCACGTCGACTGACCCCGGTATTATTTCTGCGCTGACGTCCGTCGGTACATCAATTCCACTCTCGGGCTTCGAATCCATAATCTTCTCT